CTGAGCGAGGCCCTTAGCCCCCAGAGTGATGTCACTGCTGGGCCCCTGAGCGAGGCCCTTAGCCCCCAGAGTGATGTCACTGCTGGGCCCCTGAGCGAGGCCCTTAGTCCCCAGTTGCTACCAGGACCGTCTGTCCCCGCTTTCAGTTGTACGTTGCTTTGGATAAATAAATTGTAATTGTTTGTGGACGTGTTTGGGGGCCACGTCTGAGACATGAGGTCGCTCCTTGGTTCCTTGTTATATATTGGCAAATCAAGACCAGGGTTCCCAGTTTGTGTCAGCTTGATGGTTCCTGCAAAGGCGCTTGAGGCACAGGCCGTGCTGCGCGGGGGGGGCGTGGCTACTCACCCGGTACACCATGTCGATGTGCTCCTGCGAGTTGCTGAAGTTCCGGGTCAGGTCCGCGATGCTGAGCGACTCAAACTGGCAGCTGTGCACCCATCTCTGGTACTCGGCCGTGCTGGGGATCCTGTCGAAGAAGATGCGGAAGGCTTCCCAGATCGCCTCCTGGCAAACTGGTAAAAGACAGACAGCTGTGTATACAGTCATAGAGTCCAATTTACCTGAGGAAAAGAGATTTAGTTAGATGTGATTCTTTGAAACTGCACAACAGACTTTTTAATTATAGCTTTTCATCCTAGATTTTCTGGCCCATAAAGCTTCCACAAAGCGGGAAATTGACATTCATAGCTTGTGCACCATACCCTCAAGGGATGCCCTTGATAGCCAGAGCAAACCATGATCAGCTCCTTGACAGCACCAGCCAAAGAGAGCGTTTAGGTCACGGACCTGGTGATTAGCATTATCGTAACACATGCTATGGCTTGCAAACAAATGTAAGTACATTATCTCCATTTAAACGTGACAACAGGGAAAAACAGAACAACACTTCAGTTATACACACTGAGGTGTGATTAAGTGATACTACTGCCTTCCACACAAGGGTGCGGGGTGTCTCTGTCTCTCCTCTGAGCCTGAGTAATGTCTGCATGGCGCCCACTACTGCGTTTCTAGAAGTTCCAGAGAATTATCGTAATTCTTGGAAAAGAAAATTCAATTAGTTTCATTTTAATTAACACCAGATTGCATCGTTTTTTTTAATTACTGGTGGAAACACTGTCCTAAAACTCCCTCTTTAGACTTGTTTTAGTTTGTAAGTTAATGTACTTCTCACAGTAAATTTCTGTATATTCACAGCCTCATGATAAATGCTTCAGTAACACGGAACCTCCGCATTTCGAGCTCTGTGTCTTCAATTAAAAACATCCAGAGGTCTGGATATTACTCTAAAGATATAAGAAACGTATGAATATTAAAGTTCTTTCTAAAGGCAACGTCCATTTAATTCACTGCCGTTTCAATATTTCAAGTTAATCAACTGTGGCAGTCTATAGGGTAGCAAGATGTTTTTTTTATTAAGAACCTGAAGCTTCGTAAAAACCCAAATGGATATTAAAATGCTTGGAAATTTGTAATTATTTGTGGTTTGCATACCCCGTATTGCATTTATCCCCAACGGCGGGGGGCTCGAAAGCCATTCCAGCCAGTACAGAGCTGGGCTATTCAGCATAGGGCTGCACGCACACCCACATTGCAGGCTAATTACAGACTCCAATTAGTCTAACTGCATGTGGCTGAAGAGTGGGAGGAATGAAGCGTGCCTGCAGGAGACAGTGTAACACACAAGAAGCTCAGGTGGCATTCTAACCCCTATGCCTAAAGGTGTGAGGAAACAGTGTAACCCATTCACCCCCCCCCCCCAATCTATTACTGATAACGATTCATTTAAAGAATAGGGTGAAAGGAAAATACAGTGGTACCGCGGTTCTCGAACTTAATCCGTTCTGGACTCCGGATCGAATCCTAAAAAGTTCGAGTTCTGATCGATATGTGTTTTTTTTTTTTTTTTTTTTTGCATTTAAACACAAAATGAACAGGATAAAACAAGAAGAGCATTTTTTTCTTAATGGCTTCCAAAACGATAAAGATCTTATCCCAACATTACCCCTGTCCTGCCCCCCCCGTTAACCTCGTGTGGGATCCATATGTGATCAGCTGTTTCTGGTTGTTGTCATTAGTCCTCTGTATTAAGTCCACGTTTCAGTTTGTTTCCCTAGTCCTGTCATTGGGTACGTTCGACTTGCTTACAGCGCTGGCTTAAAG